AGAACCTAATTATTTTAATTATAACAAGATGCAACTTAATTATTTTGCCCAGATTTGTTCCAACTCAGCATTCTATACTTCTGAAATGCTCAATCTCGTAGCTAGAGCTTCAATTTTCCAAGAGATGTGCAGTTATGAACCTAAAAAGCGACGCTTTTTGCGTACTATTTTGTCACAATCTGACTCTAACACAAACGACGGCTCTGCCTCCGAATCAACTGGCGCAGAAGCTGCCAATTTTGAGACTTTTCTCCTCGAAGCAGTCGGTGTGGCATTATCGCGCATGGCTCGACATGTTAAGTCTTGTTGTGATGCGCTGAGTGCAGATAAAAATGTGAGTAAGTGACTTGGCTAAATAGTGAGTGGATTATGAACCGATTAATATCTTATAAATTTGCTTATCACAGTTCAAATACTTAAACGATACCTTTATTCATTCGAGAATTAGGCTATCAAGTTTTAAAAAAATTTGAGTTAATATAGTAGATATTTTTATGATGATTTATTGCTTTCTATATTTCGCTCTTGCTGTGAAGCTTTATTATTAAATTGATCACACACCGATATGCAAGTAGTAGAAAATGCAACTAGAATACGAGCAAAATGATTTTGGTCGAAGATATGAAGACCAAGATGGTGTAGCTTCGAGTATGGTCGAAATCTCAAGAATACTGCAAGATCAGCAAAAAGGAGACGCCTGGATCAGGGATCTATCGCTAACCGGAGGAAGAAGGATTGCGATGAGGAAAGTGGGGGGCGGGGAGTTTCGGCAATCAAGCGAAGACGTTTTCAGTGAGTGAATGTCCCTTTCGAATAAGCCAGTACAACTTTGGGGGCCCGGCAGTTAGGATAAACACACTGTCACAGAAATTCGACGTTATGACCAAAATATACTAGAAATCCACTTGAGATTCAGCATACGTCAGATAGGCGTCCACAGTTTGTTCAGGTTACACAGGTTTAATCAAGGAGACAACCTATCAAGGCAATGCCTGATATCTGCAAACACGGGAATCAGAGTTTAGGCGCTCTGCTCGGTGAGGCGGCTGTGTACGTGCTTCTAGGGCCTTGAGAAATAGTGCCTGTAGTGAAGCACACACTGGGACTGGAACCGAGTGAAATCGGTCAACCAGAAAGATAAGGAATGGATCTACGGGACCATGAGGGGGATCCGGATTGAAGTCTCTAGTCGGGGGTCGGGGTGAATAGCAGGCCTGATGAGGCCACACTAGATTTGCCACAAGAGGGCACACATTTTGACGAGTGGAATGCAAGCAATTGAGAAGTTGTGATAGGGCGGAAGTGAGATAAGAGGGTAAAGAGTAGATGGATAGGCCAGGACGGAAAGAGGAGTGATAGTTAACCATTTTCGACAGAACGTTGGTGGAAGGATTGACTTCACTTGTCTTTTTGACGAGTTCGTAGCTTAGTGCGGACAATGGCAGCACTCATTGATGATGCCGGCTAAACGTTTGGGAATGTACCAAGTCCACTGTCTGATAACTACTATGGTAGATGACTTCGGACTAGTTGCGTTCCACCAAGTCTCTCGGACAGCAAGACCAAGTTGCGACAACGAGGTTAACCCACTTCTATAAAATAATTGTGACCTGAAATCAAGCATACATTTTTTAAATATACTAATCAGAAGATTTTAAAAGTTGCCAGATTACTTTTAAGTTTTCACCTATTTTCTCAGGAATGTTGAGGAAAGACTAAGGGCTAAAGAAATATTTTTGCTTCATATTATTGTGAACAGCTCATAGTGTTTGGCGATCTGGATTTATGCTTCAAACACTCAATGATATGATCTAACATAATATTTATGGAAGTGGGTTGACCTCGTTGTCGCAACTTTGTCTTGTGTTCAGGGAGACTATGTAGAACGCACCGAGTCC